CAAGCTCTTGGCTCCAACAGCAGCTCACACCAGTTGGGCAAGTACTTTGCCAAGCAAGACAAGCAGTAAGACAAAAGAGCACATATGAAGTGCCTGTGTTCAGGCAGCTAACTGTAAGGTGAAGTAGCCTTCTTTTTCAGTATTTTTAGCTCCCTGGCAATGAAACTCCCCAGATGACTATTCTTTAGCTTGGCATCTCAATCAGCAATGCATCACTTCAAAAGTAGGGCATAGTATTTCAGAAATGTCTCTGCCCCTCCAGACCCAACCTACAGAAGCATGCACTGCACCGTGAGTGTCAGAAGAGCAGTTTTAGATTGTGCTTCTGTGTAGAAATGCTTATGTATTCAGCACTGACTATAAACAAAAGGTGCAAATGCAAGTCTGCAGCTAAGCCAATGAATATGTTTGTTATTCCCACATGACGAATAGAAAAACCCACCAACAAGGTAGCTGGATTTTCTGTGGAGCTGCTCTGGAGGGAGCTGATGACCGTGAGAGCTGCACACCAACACTGGCTGGATAGGCTGGCTTGCCCCCTCCCACAGCAGGAAGGAAATCCCTGTCTCAGAACAAGCCTGGACATGCCGCCAGGCTGAGCAGGGCCACGGCCTCCTCTCAGGAAAATGCCAGGCCTGGACCTCTGGACGCCGGCACCTCAAACTAAAAACAAGACCTGTCACTGCAGAGCAGTCAGAGAACCACTCTCCAGGCTCACACACCTGCTCTAAAATGTCACATTCGTGGTTTCTAACAGCCAGGCAATGGATAGGGTGCCTGATTATGAAAGGATCAAAGATTCTGATGCTTTCCCCTTCGAATCTCTTGGGGCCCCAAACACCAGCCCCACAAAGTGCCCCTGACAGTCCTACTCCTTTCCAGCCCTCCTGCCACACCCTCCCCTCTGCCTTTCTGACCAAACTGTGGGGTACACACAGTTAGGGCTCCCTTTCCCATCCACAGAATACCATCCACAGAGGGTCCAAGGTACTCTCTGGTCTAAACTCCAAAAGATCCCTGCCACCTCTCCTCCAAGGGTAGAGGCGCTGTCCTCCACGCAGCCTGCCATCGCTCCTTTGACTGAGCCTCATTCCAGACATTTCACCTGCTGAATTCTAAATTGTTACTACCCAATGACCCCATGCAGCCTTTTTTGTTTATTTTTTGCTTCCAGTACCAGGGCATGAACACCGGTACCTTTCACACTGAGCTACATCCTCAGATTTTTTTTATTTTTTATGTGAAGACTGAGTCTCATCAGGTTACTAAATTGCCCAGGCTGGGCTCCAACTTGTGATCCTCCTGCCTCAGCCTCCCCCTGTGCTGGATCCAAGGTGTGAACCGCCACACATGGCTGCACAGGCCTCTAAAAGCCCAACTCTCCTTCTCAGGAGCAGCATGTTCATAGATAATAAAATAACAGTACTGACTCCCAAAAAACATTAAAATTGTCAAAAAATAGTTAAAATAACTAAATCTAAAATAATGAGTAAGCCGGGTTCGGTGGCACACATCTGTAATCTCAGCACTCAGGAGCTGAGGCAAGAGGATCATTGCTACAAAGTGAGCTCAAAGGCAGCCTGAACTACATAATGAGACCGTGTCTCAAACAGACAGTAATAATGAGTAAACAAATGACTTATTTCTTGTTTTAATTTCCCACACTATAATCATTCCTCGTGATGAAAACAACTGAAAGTTCCCATGTGCATCCAACCTGTAGCATCAGGAAACAGACATAAGACTCTGGGCACATCTTCTTGAAAAAAATTGACATTCTGAAGGTAACCTTGTGAAGAGAACTCCATACTTGCACAGCTACCTACTCCTACACACACACACACACACACACACACACACACACACACACATACGCGCCTGCGTGCACAGGCACAAAGGATAGGGCACAGAATCAGACTCAGAGTCTTGCACAAGCTACACAGGTACCTTGCTAATTACTTAGCTACATTCCCAGTCCCAACAATTAAAAAAAAAAAAATTAAAGCTCTGATCTAGGAAAAGCTCTAATTTATGACTCTCTTTTCCCAATATCTCACAAAATATGTTAGAAATAAATTTGTCTAAAAAGAACATACTGTCTTTAAATCCTTTTTTTAAGACAAAGTTATGTACTATTCAACTATATCAGACCATTCACCACTTTTTGTCGTAATATGAAAAAATTAGAAGATATTCCCAAAAAGATCCTTTTCATAGGACATACAACCCTGAGAAACTTTTATAACCCACTCATGTTAAATACAGCCTGTCATTAGAAACAACAAAGTTCCTAGGAAAAAGTTTAAAATGGAAAATACAACCCTAAAATAAATTAGGTCTATAGGTTATTCACCTTATAGGGGTCATGTCTGAAAATGTTCTAAAATAAAATGTTAGCCAGGCATGGTAGCATGTGCCTGTAACACCCAGCACTCAGGGTGAGGCTTGAGTTCTGGGCCACACTGGATTACACGGTGAATTCAAGGCCAGCCCGAACCACATAGAGAGACTATCTGAAAAAACAAAGAAAAGATGGGGCTGGGGATTTAGCTCAGCGGCATAAGCCTGCCTTGCAAGCAGGCAGTCGTGAGTTCGATCCCCGGTACCGATAAAAAGGAAAAAAAAAGAAAGAAAAGATAAAAAATAAAAAGGAAACTTTATAAATAATAAATTAATTACAAAAACTCAAACCACCAGATGCACAGAAGACAACAAGAAACTCAGATAAATCCCTATGCATAACAGTAAATGGTCCTAGAAATCCCACACTGAAAGGAAAGCAGAACTCCTGTCTCTCTGCTGAAGGCAGCAGATTCAAGTCCAGAATGGAAGAACTTTGGTGAGAGTCAGGTCTAGAGCTTCACGGATGGCAATCAGGAAAATGTTAACACTGGACCCTTGAGGTTCGCCCAGGTGTGACAATAACATTGGGATAACAAGTATTTATGGCCCAAATACTTATGGGCTAAATGGTTCCCCTAGTTTCCCTTCAGATAAAGGAGAGGAAGAAGAATCCAGATGGATCTGAGTAGTCAGGGCAGATAACAGTTAAAACTCAGCTAGCTATCCACTCTTCCTGAAGGCTTGAAATTTTCCATGACAATGCTTGGGAGCAAAAATCTCAAGTACTCTTTTGTTCTGCATTGTATACAACTTGGGCATACATTTCTTAAATCCTGAGGTTTCCATAATTAGAGAATTACTCCTCAACTCTACATACAAACTCTGTAGTCAGAGTTACTGTCACTGCCCGTATCCCAAACTTTCCAAATGTAGTACTCAGCAAGTCTCCTTGAACAGTGTCGGGGATGAGGAGATGGAACCAAGGAGGAAATAAAGAGGGGAACCACTGAGAACCTGCGGGAACGGTCACCCTAAAAGAGCACCCACCTCTTAAAACCAGTTACAGTCCACACTGAGGTTTCATTCCTCACTTTTTGAGTTTCAGAAAGCCTGCTGGCACACTGCAAGGCCCTAAACATGGGAGCTGACCAAGGAAGATATAAACAATCCAACTACTGTGTACCCAGGTCAAAAACAAGCTCTGGCTCTGGCTAACTCCCTGGGAAGAGTATACTCACCACTTGGATCTGGCCAGAAAAACTGGGTTAGAAAAAAACAGCCGGCTGTTTAAACAAACACAGAGGCCAGGGAGGACCTCTGAGCCAGTAACCAACCAGCAACTGGGTAGTTGCAACAAGTCTTCCTCCAAAATCCTCCAAAGCCTTCCAAATTCAGTTGAGCCCAGCAGGCTGAAGTAAGAGCTCCCTTTCAAATTCAAAAATCTGGACCGGGCCCCAACAGTTAACCAAAGAAACACATTCTAATTCACTTAAGATCATCGCTCAAGACACACTCAAGCACCCCACAGACCGGCTGGCCAGTCCAGGGTGGGGGGGCCCTACGCTCGGGGCCATCGGAGCTGGGAAAGGTGTCCAAGCCATACATAAACGCTATTCAGAAAGCAGAAAACAGACAATAGGATCCACACTTCATTCGCCCTAAGAAAACGTCTACAGTCAGCTTCCAACCCCCTCCCTTCCATTTTTAATGAGACAATGACAGTTCTTCATGGTGAGCCACAAAGCCCTGCTTCATAAGATCATTTTTTTTCCCTAACTCAACCTTGTGCCCACTCTGACGACTAGAAAACTCCCCCTGTGCAGATAACCCACAGAAAACCTTTGGCAGAGGGCAACAAATCAAGTCGGGGAGAAAGAAGCATTCTGTTTTGAGTGTTTGGGGCCTGTGCCTCCATTACCTACAACCCTTCCAGGAGCTCTACAACAGTGCCGATGAGAGCAGCAACACTGCTGGTCACATCAGGTGTCCCTCAGCGCAGGCTAGGTCTCCAGAATTCGGGGGGGGGGGGGCACTTGGGGGGGGGAACCTGGGGTGGGTGTGAAACCAGGGCATCCTCGCCTCTTCTCCCTCATCTCTGTTTCAATTACACAGCTGTCAAACAGGTTATTCCTGGAATTCCGATTTTATAATCCCCACACTGTAATTCTTCCTGCTCCTGCTGCCCAAACACTCCTCCCTGCCTCCCCCAAATCTGTGACCATCAGCGGATGCGGGGAAGGGAGGAGGGCAGGCCGGAGTTGCAAAGCAGTCCCAGGTATCACTAAGTCCGCACCAGAACCACTAGGCCCGCCAGGAAACGGGATGACAATGTCCCCAAGATCGGGGCAAGGCCCGACGGCATCAGCAGCCAGATTTGGAGGAAAAAGAAAAAAAAAAGACACAGGTTGTCGGAGGAAGGGAGGGGAAAGCCCTCTTCAATTTCACTGAAGAAAAAAAAAAGTGCATGCCCACAAACAGCGGACTGTCTCTCGGTCCCACCGCCAGGAAACCAGGTCCGGACGAGCTTCCCCTCGAGGTGCGGGGCAAGGGGTGCAGGGCGACCCCGTCCGAGGGCGGCCGCGCGCGGCCAAGTCCCCCTGGACCCCCAGCACTAAGTTTCCACGCGCCACGGGAACAAAGGAGGCGCCCACACCGACCTTGTATACTTGTCCGTAGGTGCCATTTCCGACCACTTCCACGAGCTCGAAGATCCCGGCGGGGTCCTGCGGGGAGCAGAGGGGGTCAACGGCTAGGGCCCGCGCCGGGGGCAGAGGAGGAGAGGACCCGCCGCCACCGCTGTCCCCGGGGTCCCCGCGCCGCCCGCCCGTCGCCCGCCCCCCGCGCCCGCAGACAAAGGGGCCGCGCCCGCCGCCGCCGCCGCCGCCGCCGCCGCCGCCGCCGCGCTCACCCGCAGCGCCGAGAGGTCGATGTCCACCAGGCTCTTGGCGGGGGAGTCGTTCGCCATCTTCGCGCGGTCCCGCCCGGCCTAGCCGTCCGGGCTCCACCGGCCGCGGCTGCGGAGCGCGGCGAGCGTGCGCGGCGGCGGCGGCGGCTGCGCTCACACCATGGCCCCGGGCGTCGCCCGCCGCCTCAGGCCCGGCCCGCGCCCAGGAGCCGCCGCGAGCCAGCGAGCGCGCGCGAGACCGCCAGACAAAGATCCCCGGGCGGCGGCGCGGGGCGGGGCGGGGCGGCGGCGCGGGGGAGGGACCGGGATCCGGAGTAGCGGCGGCGGCGGGCACGGAGAATAGCTCCCCCTTCCCTCGCCGACCCAGCGCGGGCGGAAACGCGCTCAGCCGGGAGCCCGGCGGGGAGGTGAGGCGCGGGGCGCGGCGCACTCGGCGTGAATATTCATCAGGGAGGGCGGGGGCCGGGGGGGGCCGGGGGAGGTGGTATATTTGAATATTCATAAAGTGGGAGGTGCCAAACAATGGCCGGGCAGCCACCGGGTACTCAAATATTTATCAGGGGCGGGGCAGGACCGGGATCGGGCGGGCGGTCTATTTGAATATTCATTTAAGGGGCGGGGCAAAATGGCGGACTGCACCCGAGAGGAGTAATATTCATCAGGGGAGGGCGGGGCCACGCCACGGCCCAGGCGTCTCGGGCATAGTGAATATTCACTAGGGTGGGCGGGACCGGACAGTGGCCTGGTCGGCTCAGACCTCCTGAATATTCATCAGGGGCGGGGGCAGGGCGGGGGTTTCCGAGGGCAGCCGGATAAGGGACAACTCGGAGGTGCTAGCTCCTGCCTCGCTGTAACAGTGACCAGAGAGGGGAGTCTTTCTGAGACCTCAAAACCAAGGGCGGTCGCGACTCCGTGGCAGCTGCGGAGAGGGCGTGTCCATCCTGCCCATCCCGGACCCCAAGGCTGTGAGGCTGTTTGCCCTGGTGGGGCGGCCCACGCTGTGTCCTCGCCCTGCCAGCCCACAGTCTGCGGAGCACGTGTACAGATGCACTCCGAAACCCTCCTTTGTGGTGGCCCGCACACAAGAGCAGCTGCGATCAGCCAGGCTTCAGACTCTATACCTGGAGGTCAATAAGGGTCAAGACAGGCAACCTTGCAAACTAGAAGGCAATTAGGCAGAGTTCTCTTCTGTTTCATCCACAGAGGTCCCTTTCACATTCCTGCACCAGCCAAAAAGGTCTCATGGCTCTGCAGTGTCTGGTACCTGACAGCTGGCCTGCCCACCCCCAGCTTCCGGTTCAGGGCCCCATGAGTCTGTTCTCAGATGAAGCTAAGGTTGCTGCTACTTGGAGCTCACTGACAGCATGGCCTCTCCAGCCTGCAAATTCAAGACCCTTCTTTCCTGGGTTTCACCACCATCAGAGCTTCACAGCCCTGAGTGTCCCGCATACAATTTCCACCCGGATAAGGAAACCAAAGTGCAGAAAGCCCAGGAAAGCTACCTGGGAGGGAAGCAGGAATCTCCCAGATCAGTCCATCCCCAAATGCAAGTCTGATGCCACCCAGGTGATCTGTTCTATCCAGATTAGGTTCATCACCCTCCTGCTTCCTGGCAATCTAGTTTCCAAAGTTTTGGACACAAAAATCTCTTGAAAGCTTAAGACACATTCAGGAACACCTGGTATTCACTGATTTGAGATATCATAGTAACCCAAGGGCTTCTCAGATTTATTAGTCCTTTTAAATGATTCTGGCCCAGCCTGGTGGCACACACCTATAATCCCAACACTGGGGAGGCTGAGGCAGGAGAATTTCCAGGAGTTTGAGGCTAGTCTGAGCTACATAGTGAGTTTAAGGCCAGCCTGAGACATGAGATCCTGCTCCAATCAGCAGCAATGGCATTATCTATGAGTGTAGGTTAAATAATTTATTCAGAGCTAGATTCATATACTTCTGAATGTTTAGACCATATTATTAGTAATAATATTTAACAGACTTTATTAGTAGTAAACACGTATTAGGCTCAGGCAATGTGCTAAGTCCTTTACACATGTCATTATTTTACTCCACTCATTAGGAAATAAATGTCTAAACACACACATTTAGCGGGATGGTAGTGCATACCTATAATCCCAGCACTCAGAAAGTGACTCATTAGGATTCATAGAAGGTCCCAGGACACAAATGCCAGGGCACCTCCCCAGGTGGCTCCTTCCATAGGCTCAACTCTAAAGCCATGACATCAAGGCCTACCTCAGACCACCCCTTCGCCCTCTGCTTGTCCAGAACCCCATCACCTCAGAACCATCTCTTCCTTCTGCAGTTTTCTCTGAGCCTCCCTCCCTCCATCGCCCTTGGGATAGTTATTTCATACTTTGAAGTCCGGTCCTGCTCTGGAAGGGCCTCCGACGATTGCCCAGTGTCAGGAAAAGCAACACAGCCTGCTCTCAGAGAGCTTACAGCCTGACTGATAACGGGCAAAAAACAGCTCCACAAATAGCCATAGCACAAGGCATAACATTGTAAATCCCAAGAAAAAGTAACAAGCAGGTGTGCTGCTGAGTATAATGTAGTTAGGAAAAATGGAAAACCAGGCTCGGACCCTAGTTCTGTTAAGTTACCAGCTATGCAACCTTGCTCAGGCTGCTTAACCTCTGAGCCCGTTTCCTCTTCTGTACACTCTGAGACTGGAGATGAGAAAAGCAAGCAAGAGCCCAGGCTGGGGCCTTCAGGCCTGGTGCTGAGGGATGCAAGAGATCTTGGGAAGTAGCTAAGACTGGGCATTGGATGGGGTGACAGACGGCAACATAGACAAGCAAGGAACAGCTTTGCGTGTGGCCCATGCCTTGTTGAAACTTCCAAGGGTGTTGCCATGAGCAGGGCAAAGATGGGAGCCGCTGGAAGGTAGGAACTAAAATGAGTGCAGGATCCGTGTCCACCTCCCCAGCTTCAAACAACGGCAGCCCCACGGCTGGGAACAGGGTTTTGAGTGCACAACCGTGCGGTAGACCAAGCTGCCATAGTGGCTTTCCGTGTGCGGGCACCTTAATCCTGTAGTCCTGCCTCTTCGTGCTTTCGCTTTCCGAGGTTTTAGTTACCTAAGGTTAACCACATCGAAATAGAACATACTAGAAATAAATTCCGCAAGTTTTTAAAAACCTAGTATGGTATATTGTTATAACTGTCTTTTATTATTGTCATTAATCACGTAGTCTAACTTATAAGTTATGTATACACAGGAAAAGAGCACAGTGTGGATGAGATTTGGTGCTATCCACAGTTACAGGCACACAACAAGGTTTTTGAAATGCTCCCCTACAGATGAGGGGGAACCACTGAGACAGAAAGTCTTGTGGTTCTGGAAACTAGAGGTCCAAGAACAAGGTTCTGAACTATTTGGTTTATTGGGGAGGAGGGAATTTGGAGAAAAAGGGAACTAGGGTTGAGGTGATGGAAGAAATCTGGATAGGCAGAAAGCAAGGGGTGTTCTGAGGCGGCCCTCTCTTGCCAGCTTAGACACAGCCACCTTCTCTCACTGTCTACACATGGCTTTTCCTTGGTACATACCAAGAAAGGAAGAGTATAATCTCTGGCATCTCTTCTTCTAAGACCACTAGTCCTGTCAATCAGGGCCTCACCCTAATGACCTAATTTAACTTTAAATACTTTCTTAAAGCCCCAGAACCAAACACAGTCACATGGGTAAGGGGAGGGAGAGGTTCAGTTAGCATCAGGGAGACACAAGCATCTGGTATACAACAAGACGTGTGCAGTACACCACGCCAGAAGCAGATGCCATGACCATTGTCCTTAAGGATCTATGTGAGGACACAAATAAACCCATCCAAAAAACTAATTAAGGTGGGATACTGGAAAACAAGTAGCACATGGCATTTTGGGCCAGAGGGAAAATACTTCCTTAGACAAAGAACGAAAAATTCAGGGGCTGGGGATATAGCTCAGCGGCATAAGTACCTGCCTTGCAAGCAGGCAGTCATGAGTTCTGATCCCCGGTACCAATAAAAATGAAAAAAAGACAAAAAAAAAAAAAAAAAAAAAAAAAGAATGAAAAATTCAAAGAATAAGGAGACTGGCCACACTGAGGGCTCAGTAGGGAACCTGAGCAATAGTGTGTCCATGAGCTTTCCATTATTATAACAACTAACTGACATCATTGTTTGTTTAAAAAAAAAAAGGTTTGCTTTGACTCCTGGTTTTGGAGGTGTCAGCTTGTGATGGGTGACCCCTTGCTTTGGGGTTATTAATCAGGAGGAGAAGGTGGCAAAGTCATGACCTCCGGGTGGCCAGAAGTAAAGGAAGAAGAAGGGGTAGGATCCCCCCCATCCCCTTGGGAGCCACACCTCCAGTGACCTATGACCTTTTGGAGGCCTTGCCCTCTTCAACTATTCCCCCACCTTTTAACAGCACCACTCTAGGGTCTCAGCCTTGAACACATGGCCCCTGGGAGGACACTGAACAATCAAACTACAGAGGGAGTAAAGCAGGAGAGGTGTAACTGGAAGACAAAAGTAGGTCAAGGAGATTGTGGGGTAGAGTGGAGTTGTAAACAGTCTAGACTAGACTGCCCCTTGTGCCAAGAAACAGGCAGCCTGGCCTGGACAAGCCCAGGAGGGCAGGTATGTTGGCTCGTTTTTCAGTAGTATAACAGAATACCTAAGATGAGGCCATTTCTAACCAGCAGAGATGGACTTCTTATTGTTCTGGAGGTCGAGAAGTCCAAGGTCCAGGGGCCTACAGGATGAACCCAGTGAGAAATCAACAGATAGCTGAAGAGCAAGACTCTGTGTGTGTGTGTGTGTGTGTGTGTTTCCAAGAGTGGATGACATAAAGGGAAGGAGGAAGGGTGTAGGACCCACCCTTTTATCAGGAAATCACCCCCGGAATACCTGTGCCACTCCGATGGTCACCAGCTTACCCCTGTGATAACAGGATTCATCCACTCACAAGGCAGTGCCTATGTGACCAGTTACCACTTGGAGGTCTGTCCTTGTCCCTGAGACACAATCTCTCTCACCCCTGTCTCAGTGAGGAAAGGTTTCCTTGGCTCACGGTTTCAGGGGTGTCTGTCCATGCTCAGCAGACATAAACAGAGAAACAACACAGCAGAAAGTCCTGGGCCAAGGAAGATTGCTCCTGTCATGGTGACCAGGAGGCAGAGAGAACAGGGAGAGCCAGGGGGGACTGAGCTGTGCTTCGGGTCAACAGTGACCCGCCTCTTCCTACCTTGCACCAGCATCCCCAGCCCCTGAACTCCCTGGAGGATGAACCCATGGACATGTGGAGCATCCTGAGGTCCAGTTGCCTTTATAAAGCTCCCCTTCTGAGTGCGTAACAAGATCCCACCACCAACACGGTGGCAGC